AAAAAAAAATAATTAATAAAGTAAGATAATAATTTCTATTATTTAATAAATAATTAATTATAATTCCTTAATTCTTATTCTTCATATTCCTTATTAATAAATAAAATATTAATTATTTAGATTTAACCTAATAAATTAAATTACTCATAATAAGTTTTCTTATTTTTAATTATTTTATAAATTTACTTAATAATAGTAGTATAATTTATGCTTAATGAATTAAACTTGTATCTTAGCTAAGATATTACCTTATCTTATATATATTATAAAAATATTTAAAATTAAACAAAAATATTTAGTATCTATTTTTTAACTATAAATTATTATTATTATTATAATTTTAATCTTAATTTTTAATTAAAACTAATTTATAGTGCCTTGCCTACCCTTTATCCAGATTAGATATAAGATCTTAAGCTGGGAGCTCTACAAGCCTCGCTCTCAAGCCTTTTAGGCTTGCCCTTTAGCCTTTTAAGCGGTGTCGGCAGTACAGGGCCCCGGTAGGCTCCTTTAAGGTGGGCTACGCAAATCGTACACGGAAAGCTAGCGTAGCGTTAGGTAGGTATACGGTGGAAGGGGGCAAGGTTTGCTTAAAATTTAAATAGATACGAAAAATTGTAATTATTCTTTCTACCCTGCTGATAGACCTTTAACCACATAATGAAATATTTATAATTAAATCAGCATATACCATTAAAATTTTATTTTTATTTTTTTTAAGCCGAAATAGTTTAATAGGCTAAAACGACTTCCTTGTAAGATTTAAATATTGGTTCGATTCCAGTTTTCGGCATTAGCTTAATATATAATATTAATAGAGATTTTAATTTTATTCAGGTGCCGGTACCCCGTATACCACCATTACCGTCTCAGCTTAAGAGCTTAAGTCCATTTCTCCCTCTTGTTAAGGCCACGTTAGGCAAGCGTAAGGTAGGTAAGGATGCTGTGCTGGTAGCTTAGGCTAAGGCAGGGCTTCTGGTATGCTGGAAAGGGTATGAGTTGTAGTTTAATTGGAAAAACACCATTTTTTGATAGTGGTTAATATCAGTTCGAATCTGGTCAACTCAGTTTATATATTTTAATTAAATGATTATTTCATTTTTAATTACTAAGAAATAAAAATAGGATTTATCTTTAATAGGTATTATTAATCGTATTACAGGTTTAATAATTATTTTTAATTTTTTATCATTTATCTATAAAATAATTAAATATAAATAATATTTATTTTTTTATCTTATATTGTAGTATTACTTTAAATTATAAATTATTAATTATAAAAACACTGCCGGGTGGCTGCCTCCATGTGGACAGGGATACAGGCTTAAGCTGCCTCACAAGCCTGTCCCTACCACCGCTCAAAAGCCTAAAGGCTCAGCCTGAAGGGGGGAGAGTTGCAGGGTGCTAGGCTAGCGTAGCCTTAGGACAGGAATGCGGTGCCGGCTAAGTTACTAGAAAAAAAAATATAAATATAATAAAAAAAAAAATTAAAGAAAGAAAATAGAATATATATAAATTACTAAAATTATATGTATAAAATGACTGTAAGAAATAGATTGCTAAGAATAAAATCTTAAAAGAGATAAATTCTACTAAAGATTAGAATACTTTAATTAATTAATTATTAATTATTAAAAATAATAATTTTATATAACAATAGTTATATGATACCCTAAAAAGTTCATTTTAGAGCTTGTTCTTATTTAATAAGAGCCTAAATTTTTATCTTTGAAAAAATATGCCTCAATTAATTCCTTTTTATTTTTTAAATCAATTATCTTTTTCATTCTTTACTTTACTAGCCTTAATTTATATTTTATCTAAATATATTTTACCTTTATTCACATTTCAACAAGTAATAAGAATGTATATAACAAAATTAAGTAACAAATCTTAATTATATAATAACTGTGCCGGCACCGCATCCCTCGCTTACGTAAGGGAGCCTAGCATCCCGGTAGGACAGGAAATCGGAGCAGCCTTGCCTCCTGTTAGGCTAGCATTAGGCTAGCGTAAGGCTAGCGTAAGGGCTGGTCTTGGGAGGGGGGAGCGAGGCAGAAAATTTATATTTATATTTTATAAGTATATTTATAAATTAATGTTTTAATAAAATATTTATATTTATATTTATATTTATATTTATATTTATATTATATATATATTTATATTATATTTATATTTATACTTATATTTTTTTTATTTATCTTTATATAAACCTATATTTTTATATATTTATACTTAAAATTATATTTATAATTATAATTAAATATAATCCTCCCTACATAAGTTAATAGTAATCCTTAGAGGATTAAGGGGTGCCGCTAGACCACTGAATAATGGAGGCAGGCTAAATTTTATACATTTTTATCTAATTATAATTAGAAATCTACATCATAGTATTAAAGATAATATTATTTAATTTAAATTATATAGTATTAGATAGTATTATGTATGAAACATATAAATATTAAAATATGAAATATCAATTACTATACTCTTATAAAAATATATAATATAAGATTAGCTTATATCTTAAAAATAGTATAATTTTAATTCAGTCTGCCGTAGGCTCCCGCCACTCATTTAAGAGCGTAGTATAATTGGTTAGTATTATGATCTCCAAAATCGTCGATAGGTGTTCGATTCACCTCGCTCTTGTATTTTTCGGTTTTCTGACTTATTAATTTATTTTTTTTTTTT